AGGAATCAGGTGTCACCTCTCCATGCTAGGAGGTCGGCCTGACGTGAGTTGCTCCTGTGGCAGCCTGCTGAGTTTTGCGCTGGCCTCCGCTTGGAAGCGGCCACCTGCCCCCGCGGAGGGGAGCCGGGGGACCCTGAAATAAACCCTCCGCAGCGAGGCCGTGGCCCTGCGCTGGCCTCTGAGGGCGCCGGGAACCTGAGCGGGACTCTGGGCGCGTCCTGCGCAGAGAAGCGTGCAGAGGACGGGCTGCTCCGTCTCCTGTTTTCTTTAACAGGAGTCTCCGGCTTTCCCTCCAGGTTAATCCCAGGCAGCAAGAGCCGGACCGCTCCCCGTCCGCCGCCTCACCTCAGCTCAGTCACACGCTTTCTCGCTAAAGAAGGCCCCGGTCAAGGGCAGGAGCAGCCTCGGCTCTGAGGGGAAGTGTCCACGCGGCTTCGCCTCCCGCAGCGGCCGGCCTCGCCAGCAGGCATCCCCGAGCACAAGCCGTGTGCGCACACGCATGCGTGGTGCGTGTCCCTTTATAAGTTACAAAGTGCTTGTGAGCCCACCACTCCATTCAACTCCTAAAACTGCCTTATAAGGCGCTGCTACTCCCCGCATTTTACTCAGAACACCATGCTTAGGGAGGTCAGCTGACTTGCTCAAGTTCACAAAGCAGAACTGGGACTTGACTCCAGATGCCCTTTTGCTCATTCCACACCCTCGCGCTGCACCCCTAAGACATGGCCCCTGCCCTCAAGGCACTGAAAGGTCTCCCCGTATCAACAGGCTCAGAGTGAGAGGGCACCCAGACTCCCAGGACAAGGCTACACACCAGGTGACCCACCCCACCCGCTGGGCTTACAGGTCAGGGTTGGTACCAAGCAACAGGTGAGGATAGCAAAACTCTGGGGCCAGACCTGCGGCTGCTGTTCAGGCCGCTGCACTGTGGCTCGGGAGGGCCGGGAAGCCCAGCGGAGGGGGGCCGGCTCCTTCAGCCATGGCGGTGGGAAGCTCCCCGTGTTTAGGTGTGGTTTGCCGACAGGCAGGGTGGCTCCTTCCTCTGGCTGGTTTTCTTTCACACTATGAATCACCACGGGGCAGGAGGGCGCTGACTGCGTGCCTCCCCGGGCCCTGACTTCCTCATCCTGGGGGACAGCCGTGGTTCTCAGCTCGGGCCGCCCGTCAGAATGGCCGGTGGAGCCCATCACAGCCAGGGGGGGTCTGTGCCATCGGGGCCAACGACCCCCGACTCTCCCCGTGAGGGGTCAGACTTGTGTTTCCAGAGCTCCTAGGGAACTTCTGATGCGGAACCAGTGTCGACAGCTCAGGGAAAAGTATACTCCAGGCAAAGCCCTGCAAGTGTACCTCCATTTTGGCCCCAGGCTCAATTCTGCCACAAACTAGAAGCCACTGTCTCCTGCCTATGACTTTATCTGAGGTCCAGTCTCCTCCAATGTTCACCGGGGTTAAGCAGGGCCACGAGCTACTGCAGGGACCCAAGCTGGCTCCGCAGGAACTCGGTACACTGCGCACACCTAGAGGCGTGGCGGGGACGGCACAAAGAGGAAAATAACAGAAAACAGACAAAACAAAGCAAAGGAAGGTGCAGGACACAAACATACTACCCACCGCACTGCAGCGGCTGTAACGGGTTAAACGCCTGCCTCCCCTTTAGGCTTTGAGCACCTCCTGGTCCCGACCTGACAGCTAACTTTTCTCGGGCTCCCCAGCGCCTGGCACAGAACGGCTCATCCATGCTTGCTGGTGACTAGTAGAAGCCTGGCCTGAAGCCAGGAGGGTGCAGGGGAGGCAGCAACGGGGAGCCATGCAGACAGAGGTGGGGGAAGGCTTCTTTTAAAGTTGATCCAAACACGCAGCGGCCACCCCAGGACCGCCTGTGTTGAAAGGAAGCTCCGAGACGGGGCGAAGCTGCCACGGAGGGGAATGAAGTCAGCGTCCTGGCAGGTGGGGGCGGCCCCGCTCACCCCCGACAGCTGCTTCCCAGCAACTGTTTGGGGGCAGGGCGACAGGCAAAGGGGCAGCTTCCAGCCGAACCGAGCCCTCCCCAGGGCCCAGCCTACCCAGACAGGGTGTCAGTGGCATGAGCTATTTCGAACAGCGTGTCCCCTGCCAAGCCCTTGCTGGGTGGCGTCTCTGGCGAGGGACCCGGCACGGCCCATGGGTTCGGGGTACCCCAAAGGTCTCGGAGCGGGGCCGCAGGAGGCTGGGCCGGCGGGCGGGGGTCTGGGGCGAGGCGCTCAGCGCCGGCCTCGTTGCCCAGCCTGACCCCGCCGCGCGTCGGCCGGATTTCCTAGCAGCCTCGGAACCCTCGGTTCCCAGGAAACGCGTGCCTCCCGTTGCCTGGTAACGACGCCCCCTGTTGCATAGCAACAGGGATCCGGGTCCTCAGTCGGACCCCTCCCCAGTCGTGCTCGCGAGCCTCGCGGCTCCGCCCCGGCCCCGCCTGCGTGGCTGCCGCCTCCCTGGCCCGGCCGGCCCCTGAGCCCCGGTTTCGGCTCACACTCACCGCCTCCGGCCACGGCTGCCCTTCACGTGCGACTCCGCTAAACGCGCCACCAAACCCGCGCCTCGATCCCCGGGCGTTGGTTTATCGTCTGCGCACGCGCAGGGCGGACGCGCCTGGGACCCGCCGCTCCCTGCCGCCCCGCTCGGCGCGCTGTGCGCATGCGCCCTCCCCTCCCGACGGTGTTTTTCCCGAGCTTTCCCACCGGGAGCGCCGTGGGGTGGGCGGCTCGAGCTGGGAACGGAAGTCTGGCGGGAAAGGGGAAAGGCGTGACCACATCTGGGCTGCAGGGTGGGTCAGCTGCATCTCTGAACTCGGGGTTCGAAAGCCCACCCGCCCCTCCAGCGCCTCGGCATTTGGGGCGCTGTCGTGCCTGAGCGCCGCGGTGCCTCCTGGGCAGTGTCCTAAGGAAGGGGCGCCCCAGAGCCCTTGGTCTTTTCAGGAACTTTTCTCGCTGAAAAGGCACAAAGGGAAGCGGTGCTGGAGCAGTTACAGCCGCGCAGCCGTTCCCTCTGAGAGCAGTTCCACGCCCAGCCTGCAGGTGGCGCCCAGCGGTTCAGTTGCAGAGGAGGAGGGGCGCCAACTCTCCGGCCCCATCTCTGCCGAACACGGGCAGCATTGGGAGGGTGGGGGGAGTGGGGGCGGATTTGGAATGAGGTGACCCTTGCCGGCTTCATCTCTCTGAGTCTAAGTTGTGTGGAAATTCAATGAGGGTAACAGTGTGCACTTAAAAAGCATCCCAGGTGCCTTAGCCGGTTTGCCTCAGTGGATAGAGCATTGCCCTGCGGCCCCGGGTTCGATTCGGTCAAGGGCACTGGTGGGGGCACGTGCAGGAGGCAACCAATCGGTGTGTTTCTCCGTCTTTCCCCTCTCTGAAAATCCATGGGAAATTATCCTCGGGTGAGGATTAAAACAAAAACAATAAAGTCACACAAAATTGATCTCATTTTTTAAAAACATCCCAGTTGCTGTTTCAATGCTTAGATGACATCGGCTGCCCTGGGAGAGCTCGCCTTTGACGCTAAAGCAGTTCCCCAAACTCCACACTCCCTTTCCCCGACTCATCAGCCTTCTAACTCTGTCTTCTTCCCGGACCCGCCGGCACAGGAGTTAGCAACAGCCTGTCGCCCCTTCCAGGTGTTCCTTTCCCTCAGACGTTGGCCAGAGCATCCATCGTGCTCTGGACCCTCCGCCACGGGTCTCTCTTCCCAACAGGCTCTGTGGCATCCTGGGCCTCGCCTTCCAGGAGCCTTTCTAACAGTTGCGTCAAGTTTATTCAAAGCGCTTTTTGAATATTAGGTCCCCACAACAACCCTCTGAGTTAGTGCAACCCTTGTTGTCACCCCCCGGTTTTACCGATGCGGGGATTGAGGCAGAGAAGTTCACAAGTTTACCAGCTGGGATTCGGGCACACACAATCCGACCTCAGAGTCCATGCTCTTGGGCACCATGTCATACTAACCACTCCTGCAACTTCTGCCCTTCTCCCCAGCCCTTGTTTGTGCTGTCCCTCCTCTTGCGGCGCCCTCTGTGCTGCTTCTCTTCCATCTGCATTTTGCCCACCTGTCAGCATCGGCCACACCTCTTCGGCGAGGAAGACACACCTGTCTGTCCTGCTGCTTGGTCTGGACCCCCTTATAGCTCACCCCACATGTTCTGTACATGATTGCTGGGAGTATCGTATTTTATAGGTATCCACAAAGAACCCTACACGATCTGAGTTGGAAGGGAAACATAAGTCATGTAGGAAAGGGGCAGAGGAGCTGATGACTTGCCCGAGATCTCAGAGCAAATTGGGAGTCCAGGCAGGGCCAGCACGGCTTCGGCCAGTGGCTGCTTTCTTCACCGGGTCACCTAGCAGGCTCTCTAAGCCAGACCTCAAGAATATGCGTTTTACCAAGTTTGTTAGGAAATGCTCGCGTACACTTGAGAGTTTGCAAGATCGTGGTCCCACGGCCCAGCGCGCATGGGTCTCAAAAAGGTTGCGAAAATGCATTGGTTTTTAAATTCCCGCTGCATCACGGGAAGTGTAGTTCCGGACCTCTCCCCGCCACAGGGAGCATTTTACGGAAGGAGCCGAGTAGGTCCGGAAATAGCCGAGTGTTCCCTGGCGCGCCCTTTCCTGCCCCGTGGCATTCTGGGAAAGGGCAGTTTCCGTTAAGTACAGGCAGAGGCGCGCGATCCGCCGCAGTCGCACGTGAAGGGCTGCGCGATCGTCGCTCGGGCTGGTAGCTCTCCGCTGGCCGCGGAGCGTCCCGGAAGCAGCGGGGAGCAAGAACTGTCCCGCGGCAGCTCCGAAGCTAAGCCCGGAGCCCGGCGTGCGGCGCCTCGGAGCACAGCGGCGGCACCATGTCCTTGATCTGCTCCAGTGAGTACCTGCTGCGGCCGATCGAGGGTCGCAGGAGGCCGGGGAGCCGAGCGGGAGGGGCTGCGGCCGCTGCGGCGCCGGGGCCGGGCGGAGGTGACCGCGGGGCGCGGGGGAGGCTGGGCGGCCGCCTGTCAGCACGGGGGTCCTCCCCCTCTGCGTGGGATGCATCTGCGCAGCGCCTCACCGTTTACGTAACGCCTCGAGCTCATTGTCGCACGCATCGCCGAGGCCTGCCACCTCGCTCACGCAGCGGGCTTCGAGGCCTGGACGGCCGGAGGGAGGGAGCCAGCTCTGGCGTAGGTATCGGGATCGCGAGGGCTGGTGCGCGGTCCGCCTGGCGGGCTGGTGCGCGGCTCGGGGCCTGCGTTTCCCCTGCAAAGGCGATCATTGCACTGGGTGTCGTTGAGATCTCGCTCGGGTGGGCCCCGCTGCTGCAGTGTGCGCGGGTCACGCGGAGAGGCGGCGGCGGCGGCGGCGGCGGGGCTGGCAGCCAGGTCTGCAGCTCCCCGCCTCACCCCGTGCGAAAGCCGCGGGCATTGGCGTCGCCGTCCTTGGCCTCCAGCTCAGCGGGCTGGTGGCCTCCGAGCGGGAGTAGAGGCCCGTGGCGGCGGTGGTGGTGGTTTCGGACGAGACGTGAGGTCCGGGGAGATGGGCTTTTCTCGTGCCGCGCAGCCGGCCGGGGGCAGAGCTGGGGGCTGCGGCGAGGCTCCCCGATCCCGCATCCGTGCGTTTTCCATGCATGCGCCGCCCTCCCCTTTGGTATTTGTCGTGGCCTCCAGATGGCCATCCTCGCTGCTTCAACAGGTCACTGCCTTCGCATCCCTTTCTCTATTTGCTTCCTGACGCTCAAGCTCTTTTCTGCTAGAATCTTTCCACCCCCGCCCCCCACTCCCGGGCAAAGAAAAGGAAGGGCAGTGGTGATTAGCAGAAGGAAGCCTTCGCTTTGAAGAAGTCACCGTGTGCAGAGTATTTCGCATTTATTGTTTCCTCTCCGTCTGGAGGAAGCGCGTTCCCATATCCCCAGCATCCTTCCGCCCCTTCCCTCCTCTGCATGCGACGTGTTTACGGCGTTTACCGAGCGCCTGCTGGGCTGCGGGAGTCCAGCTGCAAGCGCCGTCCTCGGGGGATGCGCACTGCGCAGCAGCAGCCGCAGGCGAGGGAATGGTGCCTCTGTTGCGGGAGACGGTGCAGATGAATTAATCTGTGGAGCTTGGCGACTAGTAAACAACGTGTGGCTGTTTTGTATCCTTCTAGCACCTGTCACGTTGCTTTGTCATTTCTTTGTCCCACACTCCACCCAGGCTCCGGACCAGCAATGTCCAGCTGGTTGTGGCAGGAATTTTGAAAACACGCCATACCTGGCTGTTAGGCAGGGACAGGGGCCCCTTTCCCTTAGGCTGTCAAACAAAAAATGGCAGCACCAACACGATACTGGCCTCCAGTGGAGGGAATCAAATAAATGCTTCTTTGTGTCAGCCGGACAGTGTAGCCGCGGGGTTGTAGGAATGAGTTTACGCCGGGAGATGGAAGAGGGTGACAGTCACTGCTCTGGACTGAGGTTCCAGTGGCCTGTGTGTCTGCATGTCCCGGAGTGCGAGCATCCCGTTCAGAGCGAGGTGGCGGGAGGGTGGCTGCTCTCAGGTGCCTGCACACAGCCGTGCGTGTGGGCTTCTGCCTGTCAGGAGGCCGGGAGGAGCTGGTTATGTCGCAGGGAAGCGTTCAGGGGACAGGACAGAGCTGGCGTGGTGTCATGTCTTGACTCCTGTTCGTTGAGGGTGGGGACACATGGACGTGCTGGGGCCAGCAGCAGAGGAGGCGCCCCTCGGCCCAAGGTCCCTTCACCACCCAAGTGCCCTGCCTGCCGTCTCCGCAGTCTCCAATGAAGTGCCAGAGCACCCGTGCGTGTCCCCCGTCTCCAACCACATCTACGAGCGGCGGCTCATTGAGAAGTACATCGCCGAGAACGGCACCGACCCCATCAACAACCAGCCTCTGTCTGAGGAGCAGCTGGTGGACATCAAAGGTGCCTGGAGGCCGCCCGTCTGTCCCAGCGCAGCGCGTGGGGGGAGCGTGCGCGGGAGGAGCCGCAGCCGAGGGGGGAGAGCGGGGAGAGGAAGGGTCCCCCGGGGGGTGGTTCTCATGCCGCTCCCCCTCTCTCGGCAGTGGCTCACCCAATCCGGCCCAAGCCTCCCTCAGCCACCAGCATCCCAGCCATTCTGAAGGCCCTCCAGGATGAGTGGGTGAGTCCCTGGGGGAGAACCGGGGCTCCCTGCGGAAGTCCTCACTGGATGGGGCCTCGGGGGAGGACGGAGCACTGTGTTCTCATTCAAGGGCAGGATGGCCGTGGAGGGGCCTGGTGCTGACATCACAGATCTGGGTCCCGCCTGAGCTCCGCCCGCACCTGCCGCGTGCCAGCTCTAGTGTTCCTCCCCGAACAGCGTGGCCAGTGCTGCTCAGGGCGTGGGGAGAATTAGGGTCTAAATTCATGTCTCCAGGGGCTGGTTTCATCTGTCGGTGCATCTGCAGCACCAGGAGCCGGGCTGGCATGTGGTAGGTGCTCTCAGATGTGAGCGAGGGCACGGGGGTGCCGGGCGCGGTGCCTGGCGCTGAGGGCGGCCAGTGCATAGCATTCTCGGTCCCTCTCGGGGAGAAGGTTTGCCGCCGGTGAGGTCGTGGCGAGGGCTGGGGAGAGTGGCTCCCGCCCCTGTGTGTGCCCAGGTCGGCAGGCCCGGGCGCTGGGTGGCTGCAGCGCGTTCGGGGCCACGCAAATAGTGCTCAGGTCGCTGAGGCCGTGTCCTCTCACCACGGCCGACCCTTCTGCTGGGTGCTCCCCGCTCCTCGCTGCCCCTCACGCGTGGTTGCCCCCAGGACGCGGTCATGCTGCACAGCTTCACTCTGCGCCAGCAGCTGCAGACGACCCGCCAGGAGCTGTCCCACGCGCTGTACCAGCACGATGCCGCCTGCCGGGTCATCGCCCGTCTCACCAAGGAAGTCACCGCTGCCCGAGAAGGTACAGCCCCCGCCCCACCCCACGCTGGGCTGGCCTCGCTTCGTCACGCCCGTTCCTAATGCCGTCTTCTCTCTCAGCTCTGGCTACGCTGAAACCGCAGGCTGGCCTCATTGTGCCGCAGGCTGTGCCAAGCTCTCAGCCAAGCGTTGTGGTGAGTGCCGTCGGCCCCCGCCCACTCCCCACCCCCGCTGCCCTTTCCTGCACGTGCCTGGCACCCCAGGCCTCCCTCACCTTCACGTCTTCCCTGCAGGGAGCCGGCGAGCCGATGGAGCTGGGCGAGCTGGTGGGAATGACGCCCGAGATTATCCAGAAGGTAGGTGCGCTCGGGGGGAGCGGGGCCTCGCTTCTCCCTGGAGGCCGGTATGAGTAGGACCCAGGCTGTTAGGCAGTAGGTCATGCCGAGCACAGACGCGGCCTTTTCAGGATGGAGACTCAGATCCCAGGGCACAGCTCACGGCGCAGAGCTAGCCAGGCGCAGAGCGGGCCAGGCCAGGCGGGGGCGGGCTGTTAGAATGCAGCCCTCCCCCCAGGACGCGTTCATTTGTGTCTAACGAGCAGTGCGGGGCCCCCAGGTTGCACCTCAGCTCAGCCGGCGGGCCTGGTGCTCTGCGCACCTGTCCCCTTGCTCTGCCGTTGTCCCCTCTGCGGCCTTGGCGAGTGACCACTTCTCCGAGGCTCCGTTTCCTCTGCCGCCAAGTCATCAACACCCGCCCCCAGCCTGGAGGGCGAGGGAGGGCTCATGCTCGGCCCCTGCAGACACCTGTGGAACAGGGCTGTGCCCGCACCCAGCTCCCCTCGTCTTGGCGGATAGCCTGCCTGCACTGAGTCTGCTCCCTCTCGTCCGCAGCTTCAAGACAAGGCCACCGTGCTGACCACGGAGCGTAAGAAGGTGCGTGTGCTCCCGGGGCCGGGCAGGTGGCCGGGGGGCAGAACCCTGCGGGGGCGGCTGCATCCTGCACTCACCGCCCTTCTCGGGCCCTGTCCTTCCTCAGAGAGGCAAGACGGTGCCTGAGGAGCTGGTGAAGCCGGAGGAGCTCAGCAAGTACCGGCAGGTGTCTTCCCACGTGGTGAGTGGCCGGGCGGGGCAGGCCAGCCTGGAGCCAGCGGGCAGCGAGCTGGCCCGCGCCTCTGGCCCCGTCTCCAGCCTTGGCTGCTGCCTGGTCACCTCGCTTCCTGCCCGCTCTGGCTTCCCACTGATGCAGTGAGGGAGGTGCTGGTCCAGGCAGAGGCCAAGTGCAAAGGTGGGAACACAGGCCGCTGGCTGGCTGGGCGCAGGGCCGGAGGGTGTGGGTCCCTGACCTGCCGAGACTGGGCCCAACTGGGTTCGCTGTGACAGGGCCTGCACAGCGCCAGCATCCCCGGGATCCTCGCCCTGGACCTCTGCCCTGCCGACACCAACAAGATCCTCACTGGTGAGAGCTGGCCTGGCCTGGCCCGCGGGGTGCAGGGGGGACGGGGGTGCTTGTCTGTCCTGTGCGTGAGCCACAGGGCAAAGGGAGCCAGAAGGGCTCGGCTCCGGGCCTCACGCGCATCCTTCCAGGCGGGGCGGACAAGAACGTCGTCGTCTTCGACAAGAGCTCCGAGCAAATCCTGGCCACCCTCAAGGGCCACGCCAAGAAGGTCACCAGCGTGGTGTTCCACCCCTCCCAGGTGGGCTCCCCCCCATCTCCAGCCCCCACCCCTCCCAGGTGGGCTCCCCCCATCTCTCAGCCCCCACCCCTCCCAGGTAGCGTGCTCCTGCCCCCTCATCTCTGAGCTCCCTGTCAGCAGCTCAGGCCCCAGAACCAGCCCCGCCCCTGCTGCCTCCTGAGGAAGCGCTCTGCTCTCCCGAGTGGACAGTTAGGGGCTCTGCTTGGAGCCATCTGTCCCCCTTTACTCTGTGGGGCCCGCAAGGCGGCCCTCGGACCAGGCAGCAAAAGCCTCTTCGTCACGTAGTGTTATTAGGAGAAGGACCAAGGCCCCTGTGTTTACAACACAAACCGCAGGAAACAAAGCCCAACAGAACGGGGCTCGAGGATCCGAGGCTGCTGGTACCCCCGGTCCTTGCGCGGGGTGGGGGCCGGGGGGGGGTGGCGTGGTGCCTGTCACAGCCAGTGGGGCAGGATAGACGGGCCACGGGGCCACGGGAGGCAGTCCTGGCAGAGCCCTGGCGTCGTGGGTGTGGCTGCTCAGGCCTCGGACGGTGGGTCTGGCGCTGAGACAGTGGGGCTCAGCCAGCCTTTGCCTGTTCCTTCAGGAAGTTAGAAACAGAAGAAGAACGTGGTGAATCTTTCATAAAATAAACTTCTTCGAGGGAAAGCCCTCCTTTCTTACTGGGGCTAATATTTCTCTTGAAATCACGTTGACAAGAGATGGTGGTTGGTTTTACCTTCGTTTTTAATGTTCTAACCACAGTGGTTGGCGACGCTATAGAAGTTCCCTCCCTGCCCAGACTGCCCTAGGAGCCTTAGATGCACTGGACAAGCCTTGCAGCCCTTCGGGGCCAGTGCAGAGGCCGCCACCCACCACCTGCCACCTGCCATCCGCCCGGAGGCACGGGCCCCACCCGGCTATGAACGCAGCAGTGCGGCCCATCGCCGGCCAGCTTCTCTGGTCCCGGGATGCTGCACCTGCTGCAGTTCTCCGCTCACCACTAGGTGGCGAGGTCTCCAAGGCCCAGTGCTGGTTGATTTAGCATCTGGTGTTTACCCGGTGGCCCTGGGAGGCAGGGCCGAAGGAGGAGCCGCGCGGGGGTAGCCAGCCCCAGCCTCTGAGGTCGTTCGGTGCACCTCTTCTCTCCCTGAGTGCCCGCCTCTCTGTCCTCTCAGGAGCTGGTGTTCTCTGCTTCCCCGGACGCCACCATCAGGATTTGGTCGGTCCCGAGCTCCTCCTGTGTGCAGGTGGTGCGGGCCCACGAGAGCTCTGTGACGGGCCTCAGCCTCCACGCCACTGGCGACTATCTCCTGAGCTCCTCCGATGACCAGGTGCGGCCCCGAGGGCCCCGAGCATCGCGGGAGGAGGGACAGCTACACACACACCCCCGGCCGCTCCCCAGCACGGAGAGCGTTTCCTCTGCCCGTGGGGCTGGCTTCAGGGCTTGCCGGACGGGGTCCCTGCTCCCCGGAGGGCACCCCCTTTCTCACTGCTGCCTGGTGTGTGTTTCAGTACTGGGCCTTCTCGGACATCCAGACGGGGCGCGTGCTCACCAAGGTGACGGATGAGACCTCTGGCTGCGGTGAGTGGTCTCCCTTCGTTTGCTGTCTGTCGTTTATCTCTCTGTTTCATTTGCTCACGTGTTCCTATAAAACGCACTGAGCGCCTTCTGCCGTGCTTGTCCCCCCGGGGCTCTGACCACGCTCCCTTCCCCCAGCTCTCACCTGTGCGCAGTTCCACCCCGATGGACTCATCTTTGGGACAGGAACCATGGACTCTCAGATCAAGATCTGGGACCTGAAGGTAGGACCCGCAGCCTCCACCTGCCGCAGCCAGAGCCCGTGATGCTCGTGTGCCTGTGGCGTCCGGCCTGGGGTCCCGAGAGGGGAGAGGGCTGTGTGTGGCGTGAGGGGTAGTCGGGGCCCTGGGCTGGCCCCACCCCTGCTCTTCCTGCTGCTGTCCTTCCCTGAGAGACAGGTCGTCTCCGAGGGAGGGTTCGGCGAGCTCTGCTCCTCCCTCTCCTGACCAGTGGTGACCTACTGCCCTCCCCTCCCCCCCCATGCAGGAGCGCACCAACGTGGCCAACTTCCCCGGCCACTCGGGCCCCATCACCAGCATCGCCTTCTCCGAGAACGGCTACTACCTGGCCACGGCGGCCGACGACTCCTCCGTCAAGCTCTGGGACCTGCGTAAGCTGAAGAACTTCAAGACGCTGCAGCTGGATAACAACTTTGAGGTGTGCCCCCCGCCCCCCATCTCGCTTGCCCCCCCATCTGTCAGTTACTCACCGGAATGTCTGAACAGCCTCGCTCTCCCGGTGGCCCGATTCCCTTGCCCTCGTGTGACCTCTGTCCTGGCTCTGGCAGGTGAAGTCCCTGATCTTTGACCAGAGCGGGACCTACCTGGCCCTGGGGGGCACCGACGTCCAGATCTACATCTGCAAGCAGTGGACGGAGATTCTCCACTTCACAGGTGGGGCCTGGGGTCCCGAGGTCTCCGGGGGCTGGGGGGCAGGCCGGAAGCGGGGGTCTCACTGGGTGAGGAGCTTCTGGGCGTTCATGTGCCTCAGCAGCGGTGAGCCAGCCTGAGGCAGGGGCGCTCAGTGACTGAGAAGACGGACTCGGGAGGGGCGGCTGGGCTGTCTGCGCCGGCTCTGTCCTCCGCTCTCCGGGGCCGGGATGTGCGTCCCAGGGGCCGAGAAGCGGTGTCAGCACGGGCCTGCCTGTCGGGAGGATCTGCCCTCCGTGCTCCGTGCTCCGCATGCGTCCTGTCCGTCGTGGGGTTAGAGCTGAGTGCGAGGGAGGAGGCCCCGCCCTGATGGGCTGTCCGGTCGGTGAGGGAGGGGTGCACGTGACTCCCGGTAAACGCCTAACTGCATGTGACCGTGCCGGACAAGAAGGTCCAAGGTGCTGAGACGGACACAGGTCGCCGCTGCCGTCGCTGTGGCCTGGGCACGCGCCTGTCCCTCGCGGGGCTGTCGCTCTCCGCCTTGGAAGCGGGCAGAGCGGCTCTGCTGTGCAGGTGGCGCCAGCAGGGACGTGGGGGTGGCGTGCGTGGTGGCAGCTGCTGTCTGTGTGGACAGTTCTTGTGTGAGTGGCAGGTGGTGGGCGGGACGCAGGATACTTCTCCCTCCGCACGCTCCCAGGCCTCACAGCGCGGTGTTTCGGGGACTCCCAGGCCTAACCGCGGCCGTGGCTGAGCCCTTCCCCGACGCCGGGGTCTGAGGCCGGCGGGAGCCAGGGGCCTGCAGTGGACCCTGAACTGCTGGCAGCAGATCCCCCTGATCGGGCCTGAGGAACATGCAGTGACGCCCGAGTCCCGGGGGAGTGCTGCCCAGCCCCTCTGCCCCGCCCCAGGCCCTGTGAGGGGCCCGGGTTCTCTAAGAGTCGGAACCCGTGAGCTAGAGCAAGCGGAGGGCCGTTCCAGCTACAGGCAGGCTGACCACTGACACTTCAACCAGGGGGCTCAGCCACAGTGAAAGCCAGCCTCCGCCCGCTTCTGGCTCAGCGCTCGCCGCCCGGCTCAGGGCAGCTCACCGACGGGCAGGACCGCAGCTGCACGGACGCTCGGGGCCGGGGGTGGGGGCTGGTAGTCCTCTGTGCACTCAGCCCACGGCAAAGCCTCGCGTGCCTGCCACGTGCCCAGCACCGCGTGAGGCCGTGCGGGGAGATGCAGGTCCCACCAGAGCCCTGCCCTGCCCTCGGAGTGTAAAGTCTGGGGGAACCAGACAAGCAGTCACATGGGGCGGGGGGACTGTGGGGGGGACCTGTGTCGTTGGGTCAGCGCTCAGACCCGAGGGGAAGGCCTCACGACGCCTCATCTCTTGCAGAGCACAGCGGTCTGACCACAGGGGTGGCTTTCGGGCAGCACGCCAAGTTCATCGCGTCCACGGGCATGGACAGGAGCCTCAAGTTCTACAGCCTGTAGGCCCTGTCCCTTCTGACGGTGGGGTAGAGTTAGGGTCGGGGAGGGGGGAGGCAGGGGAGAGACTACTGGGGGGGAGGGGGGCCTTGGGGGGACATTCACATCATTTCACTGGTCTGGGTGGGGGCCTGCACCACCCTCACCCACAGCTTCCAGGCCCGGGCGCGGACATGGAGGTAGCGCTGCCACCCTCCGGGGGCCGGTCGGCACGGCCGCTCCATACCCTGGGCTCCAGTTCCAGACGCACAGGCTGAGCCCAGGGAACTGAAGGGATGGGCACGAGGGCTGGCGCAGGGTTTTGTAAGCAGCGACCTAATTTCATTAAAAAAAGGAAACCATAAAGCTGGTCACCTCCTCTGTGTGTGTGTGTGTGTGTGTGTGTGTGTGTGTGACAGGGACCTGGGTGTGGGTGTGTGTGTGTGTGTGTGTGTGAGACAGGGACCTGGGTGTGGGTGTGTGTGTGTGACAGGGACCTGGGTGTGGGTGTGTGTGTGTGTGTGTGTGAGACAGGGACCTGTGTGTGTGTGTGTGTGTGTGTGTGTGTGTGACAGGGACCTGTGTGTGTGTGTGTGTGTGTGTGTGTGTGGCAGGGACTTGGGTGTGTGTGTGTGTGTGTGTGTGTGTGTGACAGGGACCTGGGTGTGGGTGTGGGTGTGTGTGACAGGGACCTGGGTGTGTGTGTGTGTGTGTGTGGCAGGGACCTGGGTGTGGGTGTGGGTGTGGGTGTGTGTGACAGGGACCTGTGTGTGTGTGTGTGTGTGTGTGTGAGTGACAGGGACCTGGGTGTGTGTGTGTGAGTGAGTGAGTGACAGGGACGTGTGTGTGTGTGTGTGTGTGTGTGTGTGTGTGTGTGACAGGGACCTGTGTGTGTGTGTGTGTGTGGCAGGGACTTGGGTGTGTGTGTGTGTGTGTGTGTGTGTGTGTGACAGGGACCTGGGTGTGGGTGTGGGTGTGTGAGTGACAGGGACCTGGGTGTGTGTGTGTGTGTGTGTGACAGGGACCTGGGTGTGTGTGTGTGTGTGTGTGTGAGTGACAGGGACCTGGGTGTGTGTGTGTGTGTGTGAGTGAGTGAGTGACAGGGACCTGGGTGTGTGTGTGTGTGTGTGTGTGTGTGTGACAGGGACCTGGGTGTGTGTGTGTGTGTGTGTGTGTGTGTGTGTGACAGGGACCTGGGTGTGTGTGTGTGTGTGTGTGTGTGAGTGACAGGGACCTGGGTGTGTGTGTGTGTGTGAGTGAGTGAGTGACAGGGACCTGGGTGTGTGTGTGTGTGTGTGAGTGAGTGAGTGACAGGGACCTGGGTGTGTGTGTGTGTGAGTGGCAGGGACCTGGGTGTGTGTGTGTGTGTGTGTGTGTGTGAGTGACAGGGACCTGGGTGTGTGTGTGTGTGTGTGTGTGTGTGTGGCAGGGACCTGGGTGTGTGTGTGTGTGAGTGGCAGGGACCTGGGTGTGGATGTGGGTGGCTGGGACCTGGGTGTGTGTGTGTGAGTGACGGGGACCTGGGCTGCGTCAGTGGCGGGAGTGGGTGGGAACTGGGGGTGCGGCCCCTCAGGAAGCCGGCAGCCTTCTGTCCTTTGCTTTCGTCGCTCTCTTACATGGCCCCCCCCCCCCCCCCCCCCGCCTTAAATCAAAGAAAACAAGAACAAACCTACAAGCCATTTGCCAGAAAGTCTCTCCAGGTCCCTGCAGGCCTAGGCCTGTGCTTCATAGGGTTTCATGTCACTCGTGCTCCCACTGCCACCAGCCTGGCAGGGAGAGAAGTGTGGGCAAGTGGCCTTTTCTCGCCCGGCCGGCGTGGCTCAGTGGTTGAGCATCGACCTATGAACCAGGAGGTCACGGTGCGATTCCGTCAGGGCACAGGCCCGGGTTGCAGGCTCCATCCCCAGTGGGGGGCGTGCAGGAGGCAGCTGGTCCATGATTCTCATCACTGATGTGTCTCTCCCCCTCCCTTCCTCTGAAATCAATAAGAACATTTTTTTAAAAGATGGCCTTGAGCAGTGAGCAAGGATCCTTCGCTGTGAACCGGCTTAAGCAGAAAGGATTTGTAACTGGCAGCTGAGTCCGCATAGGGCCGGCTCCGGGGAGACGAGTGTGCCCTGGAGGGGGTGGGGCTGCCTGAGGGGGTTCCCGCGGGGCTGCCTGAGGTGGGGCGGTCGGGAAGGGCCTTGCTGAGGTGCCGATGGGCACATTGAGCCTGAGTGCCAGGCAGAGGGGGCGTCTGAGGCTGGGGGTGGGGGGATGGGGGTGGGGTGTGGAGGGACAGGACAGGAGGGGGCCAGTGTGACCACCGGCCTGGCAGGGTGGTTAGTACTTGAGCAGGCCCAGTGCAGCTGGGAGGACGCCGGGGGGGGGGGGGGGGGGGGGAGAGCATGAGAAAGTGGGAGTCAGTGCCGCAGGGGAGGGCTTGTGCGGGAAGGGAGCTACGACGGCTGCGGCCACAGCAGAGTCCGTGCGACGCACCCGGCCCGTGCGTCTCGCTGGCCAGTGCTGCTGGGCACGGCGGGCCTGCGGGCCCTGCAGGCGGCACGCGAACAGCTAGGAAAACCCGGGGCTGCCCTGTTCGCCCCGTTCCCTCAGTCCGCATTCCCCTGCGAGCCTTCGTGGGCCTGGAGCAGGGGAGGAGGCGGGCGGCCGGGGTCTCGGCCCGAGTGCGGGGGGTGGGGGGGGCGAGGGGGGGTCTTGCCACCGCCTGTCACGGCTCCAGGTGTGGGCTCGGCTGCCTTGTAGGGAACCTTCTCCGGACCCGTGTGGTCGGGCCACTGAGGCTTGTATTTCGGGCCCAGGAGCAGCCGTAGTCCCGCTTGTGAAGGGAAATGGTTTGGGGGTGTACCCGGTGCCTCTTGCCTCCCATGTGACCCTGAGCGCCCCAGCAGGCATGCCCCCAGCCCAGCGTCCCCCCTGCTGAAGGGGAGGGTGTGGCTGCGTTGCTCTCAGCCTTGGCGCACTGCCCAGGGCGGCCACCTGGGGGCACTGTAGTTCCGTAGCCTGCCCCGTGGCCCCACACCGCCCCAGGCTGAGCTCAGCGCCGCAGGCAGCCCTCCCTGCCTGTGCCTGATCTGCCACTGGAGACCAGCGGGGAGTGAGGCTGAGACTTTAAGCCGTCTGACTGGAGGCCCCACGCGGACCACCCCCGGTCCACTAGGGCGGGACGGGAGCTGAGGAGCTCTCGATTTCCAGGACGGAGTGGCCAGCGGGGCTCTGGGAGGCAAGCCCGGATTGGGGTCCCAGCTCCGCAGGCTCCGCCATCTGTCAGCATCTGCATCTGAAAACCCAAATCGATGTGCCTGCTCCCGGGCTGATCCGGACCCATGAGCTGGCCCCGCCCCCCCTGCTTCTGCCCGTCCCGCACCCAGGAATACTCCCGGGGCCGAGCCTGCAGCCTGGGCATGTGCCCTTGACCGGAATCGAACCCGGGACCCTTCAGTCCACAGGCCGACACTATCCACTGAACCACACAGGCTGCGGCCACAGGCTGCTTTTACTCCTGGTTCGTGCTTGTTTCGGTCCTAAGTGTCAGTCTTTTTTCTCCCCTTTTTCTTTTCGATGTTATCTTAGTGATCTCAACACGTTTTCTAAATGTGCCGACACAGCCTGCCCTGTTGTCTCACCAGAAGGCTGACGGAGCCGCCTCTCCCGCGGCCGCACCAGCCGCGGCGCTTGTGTGTGGCACGCGCTCCCAGACTGGCAAGGGCGCGGGGCGCGGGGCGCGGGGCGCGGGGCGCGGGGCCCGGGCGGGAGCTGCGTTTCACTTGAGCTGGAGCCGTCTCCCCGCCTGTGTCTCGCGGGCACCCGGCGTCCATTTGCTCTCAACCGCGGTGTATGGGAAGCAGCCTGGGGAGACTGGCGGGAGCCGTGGTCTCACCTCGCAGCCACTGCCCGGGCCCCGCCCCCGAAAAGGCAGGAAGAGAACCACCTGACCGGCCCCAGCTCTGCTTCCTGCCGCAGGTCAGCGGCTGGTTTGTTATCACCCCATCGGGTCTGACTCAGGTTCGCAGGGCGCAGGTGCTGCTGTGCCGGGAGGCGGGGTGGGGAGGGAAGGTTGGAGTTGGGCAGGATCGGGGCGAGCTCTCAGCATCTGGGAAAGCCGAGCGTGCCCTGCCTCGGCAGAGCTGGGGAGCCTCGGCTGCACCCGTGTTTGACACAGAAGGACTGAGAGAAACCCGTGCACAACTTAAACATTGATTCCCAACGTCACCTGGCCCGGCCGGCGGCCCAGGGGCTGAGCGTCCACTAGGAACCAGGAGTCTCAGTTCGATTCCCGGTCAGGGCACAGGCCCGGATCGCGGGCTCCATCCCCAGTGTGGGGCGTGCAGGAGGCAGCCGGTCCCTGATTCTCTCACCATTGATGTTTCTCCCTCTCCCTTCCTCTCTAAAATTAATAACAATTTTTTAAAATCTTGCACCTCACTACACTGGGCAGGAGGGACACACGTACCCTGTCACGGGTGTATCGCGAGAAAAGGGGCACTTTCAAGAGTATGTGGGGCAGGGGACGATCCTGCTATGTTCCAAGATAAAAGCACGAGGGGAAATACTCGTTGCATAGCTTCTTCCACAACAAGACCCCCCACCCCCAGGAAACCCAGTGGCCAGCCCCGGGGGACGTGTCAGATGAGGTTGTCGACCCCTGAACTAGTGAGCGCTCTTCATAGACGAGAGACGCTCGGTGGCGTACGCAAAAGACAGAAGAGGCGATTCACGCGTGGCCAGGAGATGCTTGGCTTCTGTTCAGAGGCCCATTTTCAGTCGGCAACGCCATCTGCCATCAACAGGCCGTGGGGCCAGGCCCACGCCACCCAGAGCCCGGGCGTCGGAAGGCGCCGCTCTGGACCCAGCAGCTCTAAGAATCTCTTCCAGGAAAAAGGGTACAAAGAATGATATGCTGATAGGATTGTGTGCAGCACTTGTCATCCTCAAAACAGGCTGGGTCTCCATCAGAAACACCGCTTAACCGCACTACAGAGGAAACTACAGACAAAATAAGAAGTGACACAAGAAGTGTGTGTTAAAGAGCTGGTTACATGATTCTGATCGGTATCTACAGAATCGCACTTCGTTTACACAGCACCGATGCCATTGATAGCAGCACCTTCGTGCAGATGCCATTGGCTTAGAACGCACTGGGGAGAGGAAGCAACGATGCTGGGTTGGAGCCAGAAGCCTGGCCTCTAAGGGCAGCCAGCCTGGCTCCTCCGCCACCAGCCAGACCAGCATGACTGTCGGGGGCCATGCTGCGCCCCCCTTCCCCCCACCAGGCCTGTGTTCCTGTGTGACTGGTTGTGGGGCCGAGTGACGGGGCCGGGGCTGGGGAGGATGCTGGTCCCAGAAAAGTCACCCACAGCCTGGAGGGGGAGGCTGGGGGCTCAGCAGGACTGGGAGCAGCTGTTCAAGGCGGTTCGGTTCTTTTGGCCCCAGGGGCTCTGGGTCGCTCCTAGGCCACGAGCCCTGCGGGCTCCGACTCCCAGCTCCTGTGGCCCCTGACGCCCAACGTCACCTTCCTCTACCATGAGGTGCCCCCCCCCCCGAAAACCACCTTTCCTTGCCGCGAGGCCGAGCCACCGAGCCTCCCCAATCCAGACGCGGGGAACCCAACTGGCCCCAGCGTGTGAGACAGGCCACTGCGAGGGCGGCGCCGACCTAAGGAACAGGTTCCGGGACGAGAAAGAGTCTGCTCCGCACAGAGAGCTTGAGAACACGTTTATTGAGCCGTTCAGCCCCTGCTGCCCGCCAGGAGCCCCGGGGCCTGGGCCCGACTCAGGCCCACGAAGACACCGATCCCCAGGACCAGGGCCACAGCCGCCAGCAGCAGGGCCACCCCGAGGGCAAGCCTCGGGTCCGAGTTCCCGGCGGAGCCTGCAGAGGGGAGGGGGGGCGAGGCTGTCAGGGTGGGCGGCCTCCCTCCCGGCCTGGTAACCTCCCGCCGCGGCCGCCGCCGGCCTTCTCTCTCTGTTGCTCCCATGGAACGAATGACGTCTCCTGCCCTTACTACGCGGAGCTTCCCTGCTGAGCAGCCCCTGCGGCCAAGGCCCGTACCTGTGGCCCCCGGCGCGGGCTCCTGCCTGTAGGAGTCCGCAAAGCCCACGGGCCCCGGAGAGCTGACCACGTCCTGCGGCTCGGCAGTGTCCCCGAGGCCCCTCGCCGCCCGGCGCTGGCCTGCGGGGGAGGAGCGGCATCTCGGCTGGTGTCCGGCCCCTAGAGGCCCAGAAGCCAGGACAGACGGACGCAAGAATACAGACACCCCGCCCCCATCACCCCCACCCCAGACGCACGTGCAGTCCTGGAGCCGCAGGGAGCGGAGCAGGGCTCCAGCCCCGACGGGGAGCAGGCGGAGGCGCTGCAGAAGAAGTAGACCTGGCGGGGGAGAAAAAGGCCGAGGCAGGCGCTGGCTCAGGCCCTGGAAGCAGCACCGAGGCAGGGACCCCGGACCCAGGCGGGCGGGGGGGCATCTGGGCCCGCTGCCAGGGGGGGGCACAGTGTGTACGTGCTGCCCGCCCCCCCGCCCCCCTGCGTGGAACCCCTGCGTCTCCTCTCCTTCCCCACGGCCCAGGTCCTTAGGGCAGGGACCACTGCCCAGCCCTCAGCCTGTCCCCCGGACTCCTCCGGCCGCAAAACCCCTGGGAGGACGTCTTGCTCCCTGAGCGAGTGACTGACAGAGGAGGTGTCTAGAAGGTGGGGTTTGGCCTGGCCTGGCCCCAGTGCCCACGGGCAGGGGGAGGACAGGCTGGCGCGCTTCCTGAGCACAAAGCCTAGGGCGGCCCCGGAAAGAGTAGAGGCAGGAGGGACTGCCCCGAGCCTGCACCCAGAGGCCGGTCAGGGCCTGGTCTCGGGTCGCGACGGGAAAGGCTCACAGCTGGGAAGAGGACTCGGCCACCCTCAGGGCCCACCCGTGAGGCCTCTACCTCACGGCGCAGATGTGATGCGTGTGCAGCTGTTTAAGACGTAGAGGGGCCCGGCCGGCGGCCCGGGGCTGAGCGTCCACTAGGAACCAGGAGGTCTCAGCTCGGCTCCCGGTCAGGGCTCAGGCCCGGGTTGCGGGCTCCGTCCCCAGTGCGGGGCGGGCAGGAGGCAGCCGGCCAATGATTCTCTCTCCTCACTGATGTTTCTTCTCTCGCCCCTTCTCCCTTCCTCTCTGACATTAATAGAAATGTTTTTCAAAATAAATAAACTATATAGAGAATCTGTGTATATTAACATGAAAGATAGATATTGCTCAGTGGGACAAAAGCTATACGACGGGTGTGGCCGCTGTGCCATGTATATGTCGTGCAGGAACCCTAAAGACACCCGTGTTCGCCGCGTCTGCCTTCGGGAGACGCTGCTGGGCAGACAGACTCCCAGCAGAGCAGGCCGGACACGCTGTAGGATCAGGCGAGGCTGCTCTCAGCCCGTGACGGGGCTCAGCCTCAGGGTGGTGTTCCCCCCCTCCACGCCCCCCCCCCATGTTCACCGGCCACCTCGGCTGCCCTGAGACCAGCACTGGGGCCTCCAGGGCACCTGGTGAAGCGAGCCGTCTGGGAACCCGCGTCCGCCCCAGCTGGCCGGGTGCCGAGGGATGTGGTGACAGCAGAAGGGGGAGCGGGCACAGGGCACAGGGCACGGGGCACAGGGAGCCCAGAACAGAGCACGGGCTTCTCACCGGTCCCCTGAGGGCCCTGCTGGAGCCAGAGTCCAGGAACGCGAAGGTGGCCACGGTGAAGCGCTGGTAATGCGCCGGGAAAGGCGGCCCGGCCCTGCCCAAGGCCACCAGGCGGGTCCTGTAGCTGTCGCCCTCGAAAGGGCACCTGGGAGGAGAGAAGGCGAGGCGGCCGCCCACTGAGGCGGGGAGGCGGCGGGGGAGCCTGGGGGGGCCCGGGGGAGGCTGGGGGAGGCCTGGGCAGCCAGCAGCCGCCACCCCTCACCCGTCGGACAGGAGGGGCCACTGCGGCTGCTGGAAGGGGCTGGCGCCGGGGGTGGCCCAGCAGCGGTGCAGCACCAGGGCCAGGCGGGGGTCCGTCCTCTGCAGGAGCCGGACCTCCACGGGGACGGGCTCCAGGAGCAGCCGCACCAGCGGGTAGTCCCTCTCCTCGTAGTAGGAGCCGAAAGTCTCGTCTGCGGGCAGAGGGCGCGTGAGCCTCGGGCTGCGAGTCCCAGGAGCGGGCGGAGGAGAAAGCGGGGCCCGGGGACACCGTACCCTTGGCGATCCGCAGCTCAAGCCGCAGGGGGCCAGGCTGGGCCACAGAGGCGGGCGACACGGGCGGGAAGACAGCCGCCCGGAGGGGCAGGAAGTCGCTGCCATTGAAGATGCAGCGAACCTGAAGCCTGGAGTTCGGGCGAGAGGAGGGGGCTCAGGTCAACGTCGCGGATGTGACAACAGGCCCAGGCAGGTGGGCACCTGGGTTTGCTGGGGTGACGTGCACCCCGGCCCTCGCCTCGGCCCTGCTCACCTTCCTGGGACAGCTCAGCCTGCCACACCCAGCTGCCCTCCCCGTGCAGGGCCCAGCGGATGGAGGCCAGGCACAGGGCACGGGGCTGACAGGGGCTCCCCTTGTTCTGGCATTTGAAGCTCCCTCCTTGCCTGCCAGTCAAGCCTGGTGGGCAGACCTGGGCTTGCATGTTCTTAGCATGTACTTAGCATGCACTTAGCATGCACTGGCCACAGGACCCCCAGCAAACGGCTTAGCCTGAGCCTCCGTTTCCTCCTTTGTAAAATGGCAATAGCCCCCTCCCCTCAAGGGCTGGGGTCGGATCAGTGAGGTGACAGGACGTGCCCAGTGTGGTCCTTGTCCCTGTCGTTGTAGCTGGTCCGTCGCTGGGTCTAGGGTCCCTCACCAGCTGAGTGCCCTGCACAGTCTTGCGGGGCCACACCCAGTGCCCGGAGGTGTCTGCAAGAGTAGCTGAACGCCCCCCATCTCCTGACACCCCCCAGTTCCTGACCCCACCTGACCGCCCCCCCCCCCCAGCTCCTGAGTGCTCTATCTACTGCGACCTCCGCTTGAGACAGGGCCCTGGTGCGAGCCTGCGCTTGGCTGGGGAGCCCTGGAGGAGACACCCTGCAGGCGAGGGGGGCGGCTGGTGCAAAGTGGGAGCTAACAGGTTCCGTGATCCCGCCCTGACCTTAGGCCTTTGGTCCTGGAGCCTCCCACGGCCCCTGCTGGGCTGCGGCTGCTCCAGGGGGCCCCTCCCTGAGCCCCTGGCGCCAGGCTGGACAGATCCTGGCCAGCTCCCTCCCTCCTGTACCCACGGGCCTAACGCCTGACCACTTGTCCCCCTCCCACCCTTTCGTCCTTAGGTGTCCCCTCAGGCCAGCACCTGGCCCCAGACCCACGGCAGCGGGTGGGGAGAAGATGCCCGGGTGTCCGTGTGGTGCCAGGCGCGGAGCGCCTCCAGCCACGGGTAACGCGCTCGCTCTGGCAGGTACAGGGGCCTTGGTGCCTGGCGCAGAGGCAGCGTGACCAGCAGATCCCCGGGGCACCCCCACGGGCATCCTGGGCACGGGGTGGTCATGCCCAAGTCAGCTGGTCCTGCTGCCCCTTTCACAGGGGGTTCTCCCTCGGCTCCTCTGCCCACCACCCGGACCGCCCGGCCCAGGTCCCGCCTCCTCGGGGACTAACTCAGACAGGAGCGGCCACAGGAGCGGCCACAGCCACAGCTCGGCTTCTTCCTGGGGCCGCAGGGGACCCGTCAGCTTCGCTGCGGGTGCCGGTCCCTGCGCTTGGTCCTCGGAGGGGTAAAGGCGGGGCTCGGAGGGCCTGGCCCACAGGCACGGCCACGCTTCCCTGTCAGTTGGGCAGGCCCTGGCCACGCTCACAGCCACCAAGTGGGGGCCTCAGGGGGGCTGGGCCGAGGTCACACCACCCGGCGGCAGGGTTTGAACCTGAACCCGATGGCCCCAAATCCCGCCCTAAGCTCACCCACGCTCCCTTCCCCGAGCCCACGCCCAGCTTCTGCGAGGACGGCTGCCTCACCGGAAGCTGCCGTCCCGGGTGATGGCTCCCTGTGGTCCCGCCTGGACATCCACGTCCGACACCAGCTGGTTCTCATAGATGAGCTGGTTGCCAGCCACCTGTGGAGGAGACAGCGGGTGAGCCCCCCCCAGGCAGCCTGCCCGGGCCCACCTCCGCCACGGCCCCCCGCGCCTGCCTGGACGGTGGTGCCGCAGTGGGTGAACGGGAAGCGGAAGACGACGAAGGCCCCCGTGTCCTGGGTGGGGACGCAGCGGGTGGGGGCGTAGGCCAGGTGGACGTTGGCCAGCGTGACCCTGTGCGCCAAGGCCGTCTCTCGGGACACCACCAGGACGAAGTGGCCATCCCTGAAGCACTGGACCGTCGCTGGGACAAAGGCGGGTCAGAGACCGGTCAGGGCCTCGGGGTTTAGGCGCGTCCAGCACGGACGCGGGGCTGCTGGCCGAGGAGCCAGGACCCGGTTCTCTCCTCTCCGCCATGCAGGGGCCGTGCCAGCCGAGCCAGCCTTCCCAGACCCGGGTCTCACGCAGGGAACAAGCCACCGGTCGCACTATCATCTGAGAGGAAGGCCACCACCTAACTCATCCCCCGGGAGGTTCTAGATCTGAAGCGAGGAGAACAGCCCGGCCGGCGTGGCCCAGGGGCTGAGCGTCGACCTAGGAACCAGGAGGTCTCGGCACAGGCCCGGGTTGTGGGCTCAGTCCCCAGTGTGGGGCCTGCAGGAGGCAGCCGACCCATGATTCTCTCTCATCGTGGATGTTTCTTCTCTCTCCCTCTCGCTCCCTTCCTCTCTCTAAAATCAATTAAAGAATAAAAGATCATTTAAAAAGAGGAAGGGGAACGTGCACGGGGAGATCTGTTAGTGGGTGGTTCCCGGGGCACCTCCCGTCGAGGTGTATGCTCTGCAGTCCACGCTGGGCCAGGCTCTCCTCGGAACAGGGTAGAGAAGGCCCTCCCATGGCTTCAGGATTCAGAGGATGGGACCCTGCTGGGCATGGAGCGTGGTACCTGTGTTGCCATAGTAACAGGGAACATCCCTGGTGTTGTCATAGCAGCAGCCAGCCTGCTGACAGGCTTCCTTTGAGCTTCCTTGCGCCATGCAGGGGATGTGCCCCGAGTCCCCCCGACACTGCTCCGGGGTCGGGCGGGTGCCTAGGGCCGGCGGCAGAGTGGTGAGGACGTGAGAAGGAGCCAGGGAAGAAATTGCAGGGAAATGGAGGGAGCGGCTTCTTGAGCCCAGGAAAGGGCGATCGCTCCCCCGCTCCCCACCCAGCCCGATAGGTCCCAGGGCTAAGCACAGGGGAATCCTACATACCGATGTCCTCCGGCTTGTCAGCTCCCCAGGTCACCTCCGTGGCCCCCTGGGCGCCGGCCCGGGTGGGGTGGGTGGGGCCCGGCCCAAGGGCTGAGGAGGCAGGGGTTGGGGGGCCGACGCTGGGCTCAGTGGTGGGACTGAGCTCGCGGGTGTGTGGGGTGGAGAGTGAGAAGCTGGTGGATGGGACCAGGGGGCCGTCAGGCGTCGTCCAGCTGTGGGCGGGTTTGGGACAGACCAGCGTGAGGTTTTGTGCCACGTCCACACGACCGTCAGGCAGCAGAGCTTCAATGAACACGCTCAGGTGGGCGCGCCCGGCCTGCAGGGGAGAAGGCAAATGGGAGAGCAGCTGGGGGCCGCTCCAGCCAGGCTGATGTCCAGGGAGCGCCCAGCTGGGCGGCAGGTGGGGGGCTGGGTTTGTGGGCGGCAACCCAGGACTTAGTCCCCCTCGTCCACCCGCTCCCTGAGTGATGTGGGTGCATCCCTGGCCCATGAGGGGCCTCCCAGCCTGACACCGTGAGAGGCCAAGCCGGCCCCCAGCCCTGGACGCCCCCCAGAGAGGGGGTGGGCCCACCTTCTCCAGCACGTGGCAGCCTTTGTAATCAGCAGAGAAGACTGCAGGCCCCTGGGGCTTGGCCGTGACCCAGTGGTAGCAGCTGGAGCAGTTGTTCACCTCAAATTGGTTCCCAAATTCATCTGCAGCGGGAGAGAGGAGAGAGGCTGGAGGGCAGGGGAGAGGGGCTGGAGGCTGAAGCCACAGCCTGTGGGTCTGCTGAGAAGACTCCTCTGTTCAGGAGCAGAGACCGGGTTCCAGCCTCAGCTTTGCTAGCTGCTTGCTGTGTGGCCTTGGGCAAGCCCCTTGGCCTCTCTGTCCGAGTTTCCGCCTCTGTGAGGGGGCGGGCGGCTTGCCCTGGTCTTAGGCTCTTTCTAGCTCGGTTCCCCTGGACAGCGCTCGGCCGCAGGTGCGGACGAAGAAGTAGGTCCCGGGCACTGGCTGCGTGTTTTACGTCCGTTCTTTCCGACCGAGTCCTCCCCGTCCTGGGCGAGGCAGCTGAGGCCGGAGTGAGTGGGGAGCCTCCCCAGCGCCCCCCGTGAGGACGGGCACCTGGGGCTGCGCTGAGTGGGAAGCGCTGAGTGTTCGCCAGGTTAACCGGGCTTTGCAGCCACTTCACCTGGGCACACCTGCTCCGCGTCCACCTCCCAGGTCAGCCCGGCACAGCCACGGCACCCCCTGGGGTGGGCACGTCCCCTGCATGCGTTCAGGCCTCAGGGCACAGCTTGCCCATCTTACGGATAAGGAACCGGGGCTCGGAGGGGCCAGGTGGACGTTCAAGGTCACGCAGCTGAGAGGCTAGAAAGAGCCGAGGGGAAGCCCGGCCGCTCACAGAGCCGGACGCTGATTGGAAACCCACCTCCCTCTTCTCCCCGCGGCCGCACCCTGCCCCCGAGCGCGGTGGGCAGGCCCACTGGGGCCAGGTGGCACCAACTGGCACAGCGACGCTGCCTGGGGAACCAGGGAAACGGAGGGGGGACCAGCCTTCCTCCCCGTCCTCTTCCTGTCCCTGCGACAGGGAGAGGGCCCCAGCCCCCTGCAGCCAGGGCACGGGTCCCCGAGTCAGCGGGCACTCACCCATCACCTTGAACCGCACAGTGCGGCCTTCCGGGGGGAGCACCAGCAGCTGCATGCCCTCGACCCCACAGTCATAGCTGTGCCTCAGGCCCGGGAAGCCGGGCGTGGGGGGTGGCCGCTGACCCAGCCCCAGCGTGACCAGCAGCAGCAGGGCCAACCTGCGATCCCAGGCCATGGTCAAGGCTCCAGCCATCGCCATCGGAGCGGATCCCAGAGAGCTCCTCCCAGCTGCAGCCCGCGGAGGGTGGAGGGCCGGGCCTTATATAGGGACGGTGGCAAGTGGGCGCTCTAAAGGCAAAGGGGCCCCACCTGGGGGGCGCCGGCCGGGGCGGGCCTGGGGGCTCTGGGAAAACTCCTCCCTGAAGGCCGGGGGCGGTGCCCTCCCAGCCCGGGCCCTGGGGCTCCAAAAGCACCTGGTAAGCGAGAGAGTGAGAGAGCGAGAGAGCGGCCCCTCGCCGCCCACCCACCGGGTTTCTGCCTGGCAGCTGGGGCTCATGCGGCTCAGGTGGGTGAGGCCGCTGGGGAGCGGGCAGCTGAGGGCGGGTGAGCTGCAGGTGGGCTGTGGGCGGATCCACGGCTGGGGCCCTGCATGCTCGCCCACTGCCCTCAGGTCCCCTCCCTGCCCAGCCAGACTCTCAGGGCCTCGGGTTGAGCTGCAGGGCAGGGGTGGTGGGCGGCAGGCGGGTTAGTTTACACCCCATTCCTCAGGCCCCCCGGAACGAGCCGGAGCCGCAGCCCTGCCCTCAAAGCGTGCAGCCGGACGGACGGGCCACAGGTGAGCAAGTAGCGCCTCACAGCGCTCTCCTGAGAGTCAAGGCAACTACTAATGCGTGGTTATTGCTCACAAAAGCCAACGGGGATGATGGGCACCAAGTGGCACCGGCCTCCTATGGTCCTGGCACAGGAGAGGGACGTCCGGTAAAAGCTGCGGCAACCGCTTCCGTTGCTAAGGATGGACGACCTCGGCTCCTTAGCCCAACACCTGCGCCACCCTAGTGCCAGGCGCTCACGACGGGAAGCCTGGCTGCGGGCGTCTGGGAAGCCTGTGCCGACCTCACGGTGCGCTGTCCACCTGGCGCCGTCCTAAGAAATCAAGTTTATTCCGAACAGCCCGGCGCCCCGCCACCCGCGGGCAGGCACAGCTCAGGGCTCGCTGGTGTTCGCTCTTGACGGTCATCCTCGGAGGGTGTCCCCACCCTGGCTTCCTGCCACACGGGGCCCAGGGCCTGGCAGAGTCCGGCCCAGCAGGTGCCAGTGCACAGGGTTGGAGTAACCTGAGGCGGGAGCCCGAAGGGGGGTGTGGGTGGGGGCGGGGTCCAGCCAGCCGGTGCCCTGCAGGCTGTGAGGCCACAGCTGCCTGAGCTTTGGGTTTCCTGTGTGTGAGCTGGGGCTGATAAGTGCAGTGATTTCAACCTTTGTCATCGCATGGCACACCCAAAATATATTTTTGGCTGATCTGACCAAAAAAAAAAGAAGAAAAATGGTATCATTTTGATTAATTCACACTGGACGGCTATTGTTGTGTTGGCTGTTGTCTTTTTATTTTACAATCTAAGGGGAAAGAGGCCAGAGCCCCTGACCGAATAGTCAGGGATTGGGGTTTGCATGTTTTTAAAATCCTGTGGTTGGCGTGTCATTGGTGCAGGAGGTGGGGGTCCATCCCGTCAGGGTGTGTGGGGGAGGCAACCGGTCGATGTTTCTCTCTCACGTTGATGTTTCTCGCCCTCCCACCCCCGACTCCAATCTAAAATAATTTTTTTAAAATGTTATGCCTTGCCCGGCCGTGGTGGCTCAGTGGTTGAGCATCGACCTATGAACCGGGAGATTGAGTGGTTCGATTCCCGGTCAGGGCACATGCCCGGGTTCCGGGCTCGATCCCCAGTGTGGGGCCTGCAGGAGGCAGCCGATCCATGATTCTCTCTCATCATCGATGTTTTTCTCTCCCTCTCTCTCTCCCTTCCTCTCTGAAATCAATAAAAATATATTTGGAAAAAAATAATTTCAGACTCACTGCAAAGAATACCCATATACCCTGCGCCCAGGTTCCTCCGGCAGGAGCTGGTGTTCTGGCTCTTGCTCTCTGCGCGCGCACGCACCCTTCCACGCCATCTGAGAGCCAGTCGTCGACACACCTGATTCCTCCTTCGCCCCGTAAGGTCTGCAGTGCTGCTTCTTGAAAACAAGCAACCACAGTGAACAGATAGAAATCAGGAGGTCAGCACTCTGCCCGATTGTGTAACCTGCCGACCTCACGCGCTCGGTTCGTGGGTGTTGGCGTGAGGACTTTTACAGCCGAGAAAGGTGTTTTTCTGTGTGTCTGTTTCCTAGGCCAGCGTCCCGTCCAAGGTCAGGATCCTGTTGCCTTGGCCGCCTCCGACCTGGGACAGTCCCTGTCACGCTCCTCTCGTCACCCCCTGCACATCCCGGGGCCTGCAGGCCAGGTGCCCAGGCCGCCTCGCTCGGTTCTCTGCCGCTTCCTCCTGGTTAGACGCAGGTGGGGCTCTGGGCGGCCGTGGCTTAGCGTGGGCGGCCACGACAGACACGGACGGAGGCCGGTGGCTGGGCCAGACACCGATTTCCTCGGAGTTCTGGACATTGGAAGTCACGTCTCTGAGCGTCCAAATTTCCTCTTCTTACCAGGACACCCGTCGGGGTGGGTTCGGGGCCCCTCACGGCCTCATGTGAACTTCATCACCTCTTAACGCCTGTCTCCAGCAGGGCCGCAGCGGGGGCCGGGGTGGGGGTGGGGGTGGGGGTGGCTGTTCAGCCCTGAACAGGCGGGACGCCCAGGTGGTGCGTTCGTCCCAGCTTTCCACGGGGCTGTCCTGCTGCCGCCGAAGCGAGTGATCACCTGGGTGAGCTGGGGCCGCCAGGTTTCTCCACTAGAGGTTCTGTTTCTCTGAGAACAGCAAGGATTCGACGGGAGGGACTGTTGCCATGGCTCCTCGCAGCCGCCATTCCTTCTGTGTGTGTCACTCTCTCCTGGGACCGAGAGCTCTCCCTGCCCCAGACGGGGGCTGGTGGGGAGCAGAGGGTGGACTTTGGTGGCAGGAAGAGTTGAGGGACCTGGATTCCACTCTGCTCAGGGCTCAGGAGGGCAGGGACCGCCCCCATCTGTAAAGGAGGGGTGAGCGGGATCCCCGTGGGGGTGGAATGGGTGACACGGAGAAAGGTGTTTCCCACCTGGTCCCGAGCCTTCCCTTGGGGAGAGCGTTGCCCCCGAGGCCTGGAAAGGCAGAGAAAGACACGGGAGCTTCCTGTGGCCCCGGGCAGCAGGGCCTTCAAGAAAAGTGGTGCCAAGCCCTAACGGTTTGGCTCAGTGGCTAGAGCGTCAGCCTGCGGACTGAAGGCTTCCAGGTTCGATTCCAGTCATGGCAAGGGCATGTACCTTGGTTTCAGGCACATCCCCAGTGGGGGGTGTGCAGGAGGCAGCTGATCCACGTTTCTCTCTCATCAATGTTTCTACCTCTCTATCCCTCTCCCTTCCTCTCTGTAAAAATTCAATAAAATATATATTTTTTAAAAAGTGGTGCCAATCTGTCCCAGAGGGGGAAGCCCTGAGCCCCAGGTGATGACTCCCCATTTGTCCAAAGGCTCATGGGCACCAGCTGGTCAGCCTGGGAGGGGTCCCAGCTCCTCCACTCACCCCCCAGGGACCTTGGGAAAAGTACTTACCTAGTTAGCGACGCGATGTCCTCACCTGTGCAGCGGGCTGATGCCTACACCTAGCTTGTGGGCATGGTGAGGACGGCATGGAATCAGCACCTGCAGCACTGAGAACGGTGATTGCAGGGAGTGAGCGTCCGAACCCGACAACGACTGGTTTATTAATCTGTGAAATGGGGGTAAGAATAAGGCCAACCCGCCCAGCTGGCCCGCGTGGCTCGGGGGTGGAGCGTCGACCTGTGAACCAGGAGGTCACGGTTCGATTCCCGGTCAGGGCACAGGCCCAGGTTGCAGGCTCGATCCCCAGTGGGGGGCCTGCAGGAGGCAGCCGATCCATGATTCTCTCTCATCACTGATGTCTCTCTCTCTCCTCCCTTCCTCACTGAGATCAATAAAAATATATTTTAAAAAAAAGACTGAGATCAACCTGAGTGGATGCCATGAGCGTAAGTGCTCATTAGGCGTTAATTCTCCCTCCGGTCTCTCCTGCTCATAAAAACCAGGGACAGCCCTAACCAGTTTTGCTCAGTGGATGGAGCGTCGGCCTGTGGACTCAAGGGTCCCAGGTTCGATTCTGATCAAGGGCATGTACCTTGGTTGCAGGCACATCCCTAGTGGGGAGTGTGCAGGAGGCAGCTGATCGATGTTTCTCTCTCATCGATGTTTCTAACTCTCTATCCCTCTCTCTTCCTCTCTGTAAAAAATCAATAAAATATATATATTTTTAAAAACCAGGGACAGACTCACCGGCAGAGAGTTCTCCACCCCGTGGGTCTCGCAGCATCGCCGCCCCTCCCCCAGACTCGATACAAATGCAAAGTCCAGGCTGCACCAGGCCTGCTGGACCCTCAGACACGTTGGGGGTGGGCCTGGCAGTCGGGGACTTGCTGGTCTGTACCCTTGAGGCCTTTGCCAAAGGTCCTGCCACCTTCCTCTGGACTCAGCTCCGCGAGGGCCCGCCTGCCCTTCCTGGGTCCTGCCTGCAGCACCGAGGCCTCCACAAGCTACTCTGCTTGAATTTGCTCCTGCTCAGCCGCAGCCTGGTAGGTTGCTGGCTCCAGGTGGGGTCGGTTGCTGCAGGCTCCTGCCTCTGCCTCGGGCCAGCAAGCTCCCCTGCTCCAAGCTCCCCTGCTCCGGCTCCCCTGCTCCAAACTCCTCTGCTCCGGCTCCCCTGCTCCGGCTCCCCTGCTCCAAGCTCCCCTGCTCCGGCTCCCCTGCTCCAGGCTCCCCTGCTCCGGCTCCCCTGCTCCGGCTCCCCTGCTCCAGGCTCCCCTGCTCCGGCTCCCCTGCTCCAAGCTCCCCTGCTCCAAACTCCCCTGCTCCGGCTCCCCTGCTCCAAGCTCCCTGCTCCGGCTCCCCTGCTCCAAACTCCTCTGCTCCGGCTCCCCTGTTCCGGCTCCCCTACTCCAGGCTCCCCTGCTCCGGCTCCCCTGCTCCGGCTCCCCTGCTCCAAGCTCCCCTGCTCCGGCTCCCCTGCTCCGGCTCCCCTGCTCCAGGCTCCCCTGCTCCGGCTCCCCTGCTCCAAGCTCCCCTGCTCCAACTCCCCTGCTCCAAAC